GTCAAATACAGAATCCTTCCTTCAAAAAAAGCTTGTGACCATTTTGTATGGCTTATCTGGAAACTTCTGTAAATCTTATGTTATAGTATAATATTTTTTGTTATTCTACTTTGCACAGTTTATTTTACTGTGTCTCATTTTCTCAATGTGACAATCGTATTTAAAAATTAAAACTGATGGAACATTCTGTTTTGGTCTTCACCATCTGACAAGTCGAATGACAAGAGGTGGATTTTGCCTGTTTCTTTTCACCGATGCAAACTTGTGTTAAGATATCACTGAATGGAGTATTTATAAGCTGGCCCTGAGCATGCATAAAGCATTGGTATGTGATATTTTTTTACCTCCTAGAAATTTGAAATATGTGTTGTCTGATTAGATGATCATTAGTGTCTTGCCATGATGTCTGAAAATTACTGTACAGGAGAGTCACAGCAAAGCAGCCGTTGTGACTGGCTTTGTGTAGGACTCACATGTTGTGCCACACTTGTTTGTCTGGCATTTCGGGTATGACCTCTTTCTTAGTTTTTGTCTGAAAACTCCGTGTGTGACCACTGGTGTATGATACTATTAGGAAACACCAATCTGATAACCATCTGGGGTTTGCGGAGACATTTATGAGTCTTCCTTGTAGACCTCACGAGCAGACCTCAAGCAACCAGCTTGCATAAGTGTCATCCGAAAGGTTTCTTCCTTTGTGAACATCAGATCCTCAGTTCATGATTCTTATTTTCATCCTTCAGTATTTGCTCTGAGAGCTATTGCTTGATATTCAGTAATTTTGTCTGCATTGATAGAGTTCCTCCCCTCAGAAAAACTGTTCTTTCCCACCCGTTTCCGTATCTAATTTCTGATCCTTGTTATTTTTAAGACATCAGTGTAGCCAGTCCTAAGTATGTAAATGTTAACCTGTGGGTTGGAACCTTTGTCTTGCAATTTAAGGTAATGGATATTGTAGCCCATCTGAGTTTCCCCTACTCTTTATTCTCATAACGTCTGGAGTTTCTTCAGAATGTGGTGTATTTTGTTGTGCTTCTATGTAAGATGAAGACTTATCTATTAAAATTACATTTTCGACATA